TCGACAGCAATGATGGTGCTGTTGATTTGGCGACGGTTGGAAAGCCGGTATGGGCGCTTTACAAGAGAGGTGTGACTGTGTTCGTACGTGTTGGTAGAATACTCCTCCGGAATGCCACGGCTCATGATGGCCCACGGAAAGTGAGAGATGAGATGCATCTTCACTAGTTTCCAGTGCGACTTCTGAAAGGCAAAAACCCGCTTGCACATGGCAATGAGGCTGGGAAGAAGGGAGGGGCCAGCAGAAATGCCATTAGGGATGTGCGGCTGGCCATAACGCTTACGCTATGAAGATGTCGGAGAATGAGAGCAACACTTACTTTTGGGAACGAATGACCACATCCTTCAAGGTCTCGCGGGTGTGGTGCGGGCGTCTGAAACACAGGGTGTACCAAGACAGAAACGATTGCACCAAGTCTAGCACCGTGTCCAGAACTTTTCCGTGCAAGATAAATAATGTTACTTGCATCATCGCACGGTGTTCGGATGCTGAATAGCCGCAGCCAGCCGTTTGAAAGTATTTCCCAGGTTTGGGCAGCTTCAGGCCCGCAGCTCGAGCCTCCTTGTAAAGCACCTCATGACGCCTACGAGCGAAAGCGGGGACACGTTCCGGGACAGAACGAGGGGGTTAATGACTGTGTCGCCAGAAGGACAAGCGGCCGACTGGAAACCCTTGCTTACCGATCGAACTCTACCAACACCGAGGCGCCACACGAAGCCACAAGTTGGTGCAAAATGTGCTTCCAGATGCCAATGTCAACGGCATGCAGCACATCTGGGACAACAATCTGGTATGGGTTGCCCCATTCCGTCTTGGCGTGGTTCCACTTCCAAAACACATTCTGTATTGGAAGGATCAGGAATTATGAGGGAAGGGACAAAACGGAGAAAAAGGCAAAACAGACCAAGGGAGGCAAAACAGGGTCAGATTCTGAGCTGGGGAATCAGGGTGAGATTCCGAGCTTAGGAAACAGGGCCAGAATCCGAGCTGGGGAATCAGGATGAGATTCTGAGCTGGGGAATAAGGGCCAGATTCAGAGCTGGGGAAACAGGGCCAGATTCCGAGCTGGGGAAACAGGGTCAGATTCCGAGCTGGGGAATAAGGGCCAGATTCAGAGCTGGGGAAACAGGGTGAGAATCCGAGCTGGGGAAACAGGGTCAGTTTCTGAGCTGGGGAATAAGGGCCAGATTCAGAGCTGGGGAATCAGGATGAGATTCTGAGCTGGGGAAACAGGGCCAGATTCCGAGCTGGGGAAACAGGGTCAGATTCCGAGCTGGGGAATAAGGGCCAGATTCAGAGCTGGGGAAACAGGGCCAGATTCCGAGCTGGGGAATAAGGGCCAGATTCAGAGCTGGGGAATAAGGGCCAGATTCAGAGCTGGGGAAACAGGGCCAGATTCCGAGCTGGGGAAACAGGGTCAGATTCCGAGCTGGGGAATAAGGGCCAGATTCAGAGCTGGGGAATAAGGGCCAGATTCAGAGCTGGGGAAACAGGGCCAGATTCTGAGCTGGGGAAACAGGGCCAGATTCCGAGCTGGGGAAACAGGGTCAGATTCCGAGCTGGGGAATAAGGGCCAGATTCAGAGCTGGGGAAACAGGGCCAGATTCCGAGCTGGGGAATAAGGGCCAGATTCCGAGCTGGGGAATAAGGGCCAGATTCAGAGCTGGGGAAACAGGGCCAGATTCCGAGCTGGGGAAACAGGGTCAGATTCCGAGCTGGGGAATAAGGGCCAGATTCAGAGCTGGGGAAACAGGGCCAGATTCCGAGCTGGGGAAACAGGGTCAGATTCCGAGCTGGGGAATAAGGGCCAGATTCAGAGCTGGGGAAACAGGGCCAGATTCCGAGCTGGGGAAACAGGGTCAGATTCCGAGCTGGGGAATAAGGGCCAGATTCAGAGCTGGGGAATCAGGGTGAGAATCCGAGCTGGGGAAACAGGGTCAGTTTCTGAGCTGGGGAAACAGGGCCAGATTCCGAGCTGGGGAAACAGGGTCAGATTCCGAGCTAGGGAATAAGGGCCAGATTCAGAGCTGGGGAAACAGGGCCAGATTCCGAGCTGGGGAAACAGAATCAGATTCTGACCTGGGGAAACAGAGTCAGTTTCTGAGCTGGGGAAACAGGGCCAGATTCTGAGCTGGGGAATAAGGGCCAGATTCAGAGCTGGGGAAACAGAGATAGAACAGAACAAGAGAGCCAAAACAGTGCAAGTGAGGTGCAACGCAGAACAAGAGAGAGGCAAAATAGAAGCCGTGAGAGCCAGAACAAAACAGGCGAGAGGCAGAACACGCTTACCTCGACATTGTGCGTCCCCATGTTCCTCGCTCGCTCCTTCGAAGCGAGCGCTTGCTGCTGCTCAAACATGGTGCGCCAAGGAAACTTGCGGTCCAAGCAATCAAGCAGCTCTGCAGGGACTTGGCATAGCGAGCATGGCATCTTGCAGCCATGCTGCATCGTCCCTGTGACCCTGCACGTCTCAGGGTAGTCACCGACGTAAGCGTACATCAGCGGGAACACCCGCTGAGTCACGCCAAATGGGTCGGTGATGGCAATGGACCTGCAGAGGTGCGAGCGCAGGCTCATGAGCTCCCAATGCATCACCGAGCATGGGGTGCAGCGCACAGAGGAGCACATAACATGTGGAAAGGAGGACTAAAACTTACGACTTTGAAGCTTTGACAAGAGGTGCGAACACAATGTCCAAGCACGCGTGGAAGAGCCGGGTCTTAACCTCCGATGGCAGATCCGTGTCGGGCAGAGGCAGCAAGGCGACCATGGCTCGAGCACTCATCTTCCAACGAGCCTCTCGCGGGATATTCGCCAGAGATATTTGGAGGGGCCAGACCTTTTGCCGACCGTTGTGGCTCAGGTGCGTCACGTCGCTAGAGGCGATCAACGCGGCCACAACGTCGTCACGGCTTGGTAATGCGGCCTGCGGGGAAGAGGCAGGGATCATTAGGGATAGACACCTGCGCGGGGTCAATGTGAGACCAGCCCACTGGGCACCCGTACAAGCCTCAGCCTACCTGGGCGGCCTCCCACCACATGCCCGTCTCTGGGCGGCCAAATATGCGCTTGCTGCCCTCTGTGTACGCCGTCTCAGGATGGAGTTTGAAACCACCACTGTTCTGAGGATTCCCGAACATATCTTTGAGCGCCTGTGAAACAGCAGATTGGGGGAAGGATGAGCAAACGAGCTGGTGGGCTATGACGTGCACCCTAAACACCGTGCTTCTGACATGACGAGCACTCACCTCCAGGGTATCGCAGTATTCAAGCTCAACGGCCTCCGTCATCCCTTCCACAAACACCCGCTCCTTTCGCCAGGTTCCATGATGCTTGCCTAGCACCTCGCAGGCGTAACGCTCGACATCCCGCATCCCCTTCCACTGTGAAATCTCCGCCTTATCAAAGAGAGGGTGATTAATCAGTCTGAAAAAGCGCTTAGCCTCGGCTTGCGTCATGCCAACCCCATTACGAAACTCCTTCAAAAAATTGAAGACCTCTCTGCGAGTGTCGAAGGCGGGGAGCGCTGATGCTTCGTCCGCTACGTCAGAGGCGACCTCTGCATATGTTGTGTTCAACGGTGGCGCAACACGTGCGCCACCTGCACCTCCGCTTCCCTCACCTCCGCTTCCCCCACCTCCAGAGTCGTGAAGGGCATCGGGCTGTTCAAACGCCGTGGGGACAGTCGGCGGATTGCACGGCACAGCCCCATTATCCTCGAGCCTCGGGCGACGATCCACACCACGACTTCCGACAGTAGCAGGCGCATGCCGTAGCCCAACGTGTCCCCCTACTCCACCGACCGCACTGTGAGACAGCCTCTGCACTTCTCGCGGTGGCCATTGCGCTGGCGTGTGGATGCAAGCGTTGTTACGATCAAAGTGCGCTCGCATGGCAGTGGTGGTGTCGAACGATTTCCGACATTTTCCACAGGCCACGACTCCAGCCGCAATAAATGGCAAAAAGAATGCGGAGAAGAACATGGCGACCGCCGGCAAACGAAGAGGCTGACAGATCATCTCCGGGGATCCCGGTCTAGCTCTGTGGTGGCTGCACATTTGGCGGGGAATCTGGGACTAAGGTATCGTAGGATGCATCTTAGTCCTAAGTATTCTGCTACTGCGCCTTGGGAAGCGTTGCCTCTCTAGCACTGAGCCCCCTTCCCTTCGTCCGCATTATTCGGTGCTCAAGTTTGTAGAACAGTGGACTCTGTTCCAATCGGGCCTTTTTGGCAAATCGCCTGAGGCTGGGATGGTGTGAGAAAATGGGAGGGTCGGGCAGCGATGCGGGGAAAAACGTTGGGTCTGATTGCGCTTACGTAAGTAGCATTTTCCAGTGAAGAGCATTTTGGTAAAATTTCATTGCATTCCACACGTCTGTGCTGGATTTTGCGATCAGGATCAGATGGGTCTTACTAAAGACTGCTGGCTGCACGGCGCTGACCTTGTACCAAGGCGTGGAAGCATACACATGCGAGGGAACTTTTGGGATGGTGGGAATGGGAAGGTGTCATTGCGAATTGTGGGTATCCGTTCTTGCAGCCCTCCTCTTTTTGCACGCGCGGTATCGATTGCCACCAGAGTGCTGGGCAGCACGAAATGTGTGACGTTATGAGTTGTTGACTTGTCTGTGCGTTAAGCGAAGCCATCAAACTACCCCGGCAATTGTGATGGGTCGGATCGAGGTCTCTTGGATCTGTCCGATTGGTCTATACCTGCAGTGGTGACTCGAAGAGTGTACACGTGTCAACTTCGCCACCTTTGCAAATACACGAATTGGGTTTCCCAACGAGCCGCCTGTCACTTCAGATGTGCGAGGGTGTGCCCAGGCACATTTCTTTTCACGAGCACCACAGATGACGAAGAACCGGTTGGAAAAGGGTTGCACACCTGCAAAACCCTAAACGAAACCACAATTGGGCGGTCCCAGGTTGCACACTCACGTGCCAACTGTGATGAGCCTCCCATACTAAGCAGTTGGGACTCAGGCACAAGTAGCCAATTCTCTATCATTTCCACGCTAGTCTAGCTCTTGCCATGCTGAAAGTTGAGCGAGGTCAACCGTCGCTTAAGATGAAAAGCGAGGAAGGCTTGCCGGTGATTGAAGACTCGCAGGGGGATGCCGACGATAGTCCGGAGAACGAGCCGGCGCCAGTCTCGGATTCCGGCCCCCTAGATCCGCTCGCAGATGATTTCTGGCCGCGTCTTGAACGGAAGTCAAAGAAATACCCAAAGCGAAACCCTCGGGACACTCCGTCAGCTTCGGAGAAAGGGAAGGAACCCGCAGAGCCTACGGTTTGTGCTGCGTGGCGCGTTCGATGCCTGTGCAATGGATATACCGGGGACAAGCCCGAAGGCACTGTTGTGAAGCACCTCGTTGTGCCCAGAGGCGGAGTGCACGAAGTCGTCCGCGACGACGATCCCGTTGCAGACCGGTCTGTTATGCCGGAAGGTGAGGCTGTTTTGATGCTTCTCTTTAGTCGCATGCCTTCTGGAAGCTATTTTGCCTAACCCCTTGGGCCTTTCCTATCGTTATAGCACTACGGGCCTCTCATTTTCCTAACTTCTATGGACTTAACCTGGCTTCTGTGGCTGTCTTGATACAGCTGGCACAAGCTTTCGTGGAGCGCGGCATGCAACAGTCTTTTCCAGGGCTGACGCGTTTGTAGAAATTTACAAGGAGCTCTCCCAGAAAAGCGAGCTGTGCGAGCTCCACTCGTTCCTTCGTATTTACGAGCGCCTCCTGCCCTAGGGCGGAGTTGCATGCGGAAACTGCGGTGGTGTGCACACAGTTGGTACCACAGTGTGGCGTTGCGTTCTTTAGCCATTAAATGAGTGTGTAAGACTTCGCAGTGGAATGTTTATTGTATTTGCGCCGCACCAGCTCCTGTTACTAGCCGAGCGCAGTGAGGTTCTGCGTGCTTAGCTGTCTCCCGCAGTGTGCGCTAGAACAATTTGGACTTACATGACATTGCGTAGCCCTTGTATGAATTTCCTCAAAAAGGGAGATTATGAGGATTGATTAGATGACAAGAATGTATCGCAGAATTCTGAACTGTCGCCATGAAAGACGTTACAGCACGGAATTTGTCCCGCGTATGAATGTCGTCGCAGTCGTGCAGCTCCAATTTCTGGATGATGCGTTTTGCCACGCTGGACCCTTCGTCGCCGAGCGTTTCGCAGCCAAACCCTGGGCCAATGTAGCTCGCATGCCCTGATTCGCTGGCTGTGATCTGTTTCTGTTATGTCACAGCTTTGATACTTCAACCACGGGCTGCCGTCGATCTTGACGTAGATCGACGGCCACGAGTCTCCTCACGAATATGTTTCCCAGCTCAGAGTCACACCAAATTCCCAACTCATTCGCCACTAGGCTGGCGCCGCCACTCCCATCCCAAGCAGGGACATCAACATTTCGCCCTGGCGTCCAACCTCAGGCTGGTTTTTTTACTCACGGTGGCAGATGACTAACCCCAGCAGAAAGTCGCTGTTTGGGACAGAGCTCTGTCCTGGCAAGCAGCAATGGCGCCCAACTCCACCATTATCGCCGAAGAAGGGGTTCGCGTGCGTAAGCCGAACACCTCCCTGACTGGCGGGCTATGGGTCAACGATCGCATAGGCAAGAAGCAGTTCAAAGTGCCGCGGCAGCAGAAGGAACCTACTCAAGCTGTCGCTCTTAGCAAGGCCCAGTTCGACATGCTACAAGCTATGTGGACGAAGAGTCAGGGGGGCAAGCAAGTTCGTGTCGGTGATGACGAGGGGGCCGAGCAAGCCGAAGAGGAGGAGGGTATGTTGTAGAAAATGGGAATTGCTTTCTCACCTTCCTGATTTTGGTGCCACCTCACTGCAGGGGAAATTCGTCTAACTCACATTTGAGGTATATACAGGCGACAACATCTTGAACCAGACGCTCCCCACGGCATCTGCGAATCTGGCAGGCTCTTCACGGCGGAGTAAGAATGTTGCTGCTGTAGCATTAGCAGGATGTCTAAATGGTTTCGCGTTTCTGACTATCCTTTCTTACCTCGCAGAGAAGGGCGCTGGGTCATCGAGGAAGAAGGTGGGCAGCCAGCGGGCAGCGGAAGCAGATCCCGACGAGTCGGCCGAAGATGAAGGGGCCTCTGGTATGATTTGGCCTCGTTGTCCTGCTGGTTTACTCGTCACTCCGTACTCACCACGGTCTTGGAACTGTTTTCTGTGTGCAGTCCGCACGGCTTCACTGCTGGGCCTTGGAGGAGGCCGCCACGGTGGTGCGGAGCAGGCAGCGGCCGCCGAGGATATGCTTAACCACGAGTGGGGCGTTGGGAGCAACAGCGTTCTGGCTGAAGCTGTGTCCGCGATGCAAGCGCAGCTGGGTGAAGTTATGAAGGCAGTGAGCCTGTTGAGCCAGCTGCCGCAGCTGGTCACCCAAATCGGGGACTTGTCGAAGATGCTGACTGAGGTGAAGAGTGTGGCAGCAGAGATTCGAGCGGCCCAGGCATTGGTACGCCCTCCACCGGCCACCCCCATTGGTCAGGGGTACGCGGAAGGCATTCCCGGCTCAGTGGATGACGTGCTGGCCGACGACTGGAACGCAGGCCTTGCGGCAATAGCAAAGACCATCCCGAAATCTAGCGAGCTCTCGGTGAGTGCTCGCTGCACAGATTATTGGGTAAGAACTGTTTCGTGAGTTCTCATGTGCTACGGTTTACTGGTTTCCTTAGCATGTGGTTACATAATTTCTGGATCTCTCGTTTCTAGTGCCATGTTCTCTGGATTCGTGTTCTATGGTTTCCAGTGCCCAGTTTTATGGTCTCTGGTTTTCTGGTTTCTAATGCCCTGTGCCCTGTACTCTGGTTTCCTGGGCTCCAGAGCCCAGTTTTCAGGTTTCACGTTTCTGGTTGTCTGGTCTATGGTTTCCATAGCCTGGTTCTATGACTTCCACTGCCCAGTTTCCTGGTTATAGGCTCTCATGTTTCCAGAGCCCTGCTTTCTGGTTACCTGGGTCTGGATTCCAGTTGCCAGCTTTATACTTTCTGGTTTCCAGGTGCTTCAAGATTTCTGATTTTGGCTACCGGGGTTTACTGGTTTTCCGGTTGCTGTTTCTTTCCACGTTGGTGCTCTTTGGTTGGTGGCAGGGGAAGCTGGTCGGGGTTTTCATACAAAGCGTCAGCGTGCCGATCGACGGCAACCCGAATTCCCTCTCCATGTGGCCGGATAATGAAACGGTGGCGGCCAACGCTGTGGTACGGCAGGCGATCCCCCCCAGCAAGGAGCCGCGCTTGGCGTACCTGCTGAAGTTCTCGAAGGCCCACCTGAAGACATGGTCAAGGGTGGCGAACCGGATGCGGGCAGCGATCATACGGTGGGGGAAGACGGTGCTGTTTGCCATTCTCAACATCCGGCGGTCGGTCAAGGACATGCCCAAGGGGCTGAATTGGAAGGTGGTTCGACCTGGGGGCAGGAGACGCTCTCTAGCCAAGGCATATGCCCTTGTCAAGCCAGGTAACCTCCTGCCACACATGGCTGCCATGGTAGCGCTCTGTCGCTTTGTTCTCACGGCCCGTCACCCTGCATGTGTTTCTTTCTTCGTTGCAGGCCGCTTCTGCCTGGTGTGGCACTGTGATGGCAAGGGCATGCCATTTGCAACGTGGCAGTTTGAGATCTTCCTCGCTGCCGCCTTGTGGAAGTTCGTCACCGGGCAGGAGCTGCGTGTGTATCCCTACCTTCTCGCCTACGCCCTGTACGGGGTGAGTTGGTGTTGTTTTACGAGGTGTGCCCACTTCCGCTAGCTGTCTTTTCTTACTCAGTCCTCACGCTACAAGTTAGATTTAACATCAGTACCGTTCACTAATCTTCCCTGCTGCTATGTTGGCATGTGTATTCCCTTGCTGCAGGCGGAGTACCCCTTGATGGCGCACAGGGAGAACGTCCGTGGGCTGCCCACGACCGACCAGCCCAACAAGAACAACGCTGACCGCCAGCACGCCATCGTCAAGAACTGGCTGCGCGAGTCCATCATCCAGTGGCACGGGCAGAAAGGCGGGCCTGTGTGGGTAGAGGAGGAGCAAGCCTACCAGTTCAGTGCTGGAAGCCACTTCGTCATCTACATCATCTTCCCCCCCCCTGCAGAGGTGGCTGCAATGGTGGAGATTCCGGTCGGCCCGGTGGAATATCCCAAGTGTTCCAAGAAGCGCCGCACTGCCACAGGCGTGGCAGAGCACAATGATGCGGAGGAGGGGTGGGAAGAGGCAGAGGATGTTGATGGGGATTCTGAGGATGATGAAGAGGAGGATGAGGAAGATGAAGGCGATGAGGGGGATTTTTAGCTTTACACTGTTTATGCTTTTGTTTTTTTATTCGGTGGCGTGTGCTCCACCGTGATTGCGTGGCAAACCTGTAGGTGATCTCCTCTGTTGTTATGGTGATGGTGTCATTTTTGTGTGTGGCAATCTGACATGAATTAAAAGAAAAAACTGTAATTATCAATTTGACAATTTTAGACGTTTCTGTATCTAGGGTTCGTGCACCGCTTTTCGTTTTTGTAACAATTATCGGTAACCATGTACCAGATAATGGGAGACGTAACCATGTTACCACAATAAATTGTAACAAGTCGAACCGCTTTTGTATGCTATGTGCTGGGTTTGCAGTTGCGTGCTGTGGACTTCGCACCTAGGGAGTTTGTTGCCACGCGCGTTTGCTTTGGGTGCACTTAGGCGTCGAGTGCTTCGCGATTGCGAAGGTGGGGGTATGCTTTTAGTAAGGCTGGGTACTTAGCCGGAACTTTGCGTGTGCTACGTTGTCGCTATGTCTTTGGCGACTATGTATTTTGTTCACTGATGAACACGTTTGCACTATGCGTCTGGCGGCTATGCATCCGCTTAGTAAATTTCCGGTTCTACGATGCGTATGCATAGGTGACCCGGGGCAGATTTTTGGGACGCCGATGGTGCCAAGCCTTCGAGACTCAACCCTCTGGTGTGCTATGGTACCTTAGAGGATAATGATAAAAGCTTCTAGCGCCAGCTCAGGCTGACTCGGTTTCAGGAGAGGCCTTCAATCGTGCTTTCTGCTGTTTTTTGTGGTACTACGTCGGCAATGGCAGGGCTGAGAACAGGAGAGACCCTCGCTATCCATGAGACTCTTAAAAGGAAGTTTTTGGTGAAGCCGCATCAGAAGCGCAGTCGCGATCGGTAGTAGCGCAGCGCAGCCGAAGATTTTGATTCCGGAGGAACGGAAACGGAAGCTCCTTGGGGCCCAACTTCGGGACCAAGGTTGCAAGGAACGCGAGGGGTGATGCGATGGAAGTGTGGCGAATTCGCCGCGTGAAATCCCGGTGTATGATCCGCTGAGGCGGATCATTCTTAAAAATCGCTGAGACAGATTGTCCGGCGGAACGGAGAGGTGAGAAGACTCAGCCACAAATGGCCATAGGCTACCGTAGCCACAGGCTGCATCGGAGCCACTAAGAATCCTGATAAGGGCATGAGAGTATGTGAGCTAGCACGTGTAGTACCGCCTCTGGGGAGCTTCCGGGAGAAATCCCGGGGATATTTCAAACGTGCTTGCATCACCTGGAGTCGCCGCGAAGCGAGTCCTCATGCCAGATCAGATCTCTGCTGGTCCCGTCCGTCGCATTCGCTGATCGCAGCCGGTTGCTCCGCGACGCAGCATTCGAGATGTTGAATGTTCCGTCGCATACGGTACCCTGCCAGGCTGGCATCTCTCGGAGTCGACTCCGAGACACGTGGCTTCGGAAGCTGAATGATCCGTCGCATCGCATCCCATACTAGCGAGAATGCTCCACTAGGGTGATATTATTGTGGAAGCTGCCGGATTTAATCTTTGGCGAATCACCGTCCCTGGAAGTAATTCGCAAAGCACGCGCTGAGCTGTCCCTGGCAGTCCTGCCGCCCAAAGGCCTGACGCGCTTTGTCTGTAAAACGCCTCGCTACCCATGGGTCAAAATGAGGTTACCACAGCGGAATTGCACGTTCACACATCCCAAAATTGATGGGCTCGAAAAAGTCACTTTTAGAAAAGTAACAAGTTGGAAGTAACTTCATCGGGGCATTTGTATCAGGCGCGGCTCCGAAATGTATCATTCGCGATTCGGGAATTTAGCCTCAGCTTCGTCAAAGGCTCGGTACTTCTTTTGCAGGTGCGGAACCAATGACAGCGAAGCGCGGAAACCGATGAAACGAAAAGTGAGCGTCAACACATCGGTTCGCGCACTTTGGTTACGCTTCGCATACCTTCCCAGCTTTCGCGCATGCACCCCCTGAAATTCAAGTGGCGTTTGACTCGCTAGTGTCGCTTTTGAAATTTCACTTTATGGAACACAGCGGTAATGAACTTCTACTACGTACTTTATAGAGCCTTGTGGTTGTTTAATATATCTACTTAACGTATGCTCGAAGGGTGAAGAACATAGCGGCTGTAATTAATTCAAAAGGTAGCGAACACTTTTGCTTGTAAAATGGATCTACTTCAATCAAACTATTAGTACAACGTACTTAATAGTGGCCTGCGATTGTTTTTATGGATCTATTTAAATTATGCTCCAATGGTGAAGTCATATGAGAACCATACAGCAAGCATAGCATTATGAGGTGTTCATTCACCCATGTAAAGAAAAGTTGCACATACAGCCAAAGAACGACGTGGATGCAATGGTCTCGTACGGTAACTATATCGTCTCAAAATGGTTTAGAAAGTACAGTGAATGGCGATCGTACGAGCGGACCACATGCACGGCTCGTACGATCGATCTAGCATCAACCAAGTAATATCTAGAGTCCAGGGGGGGGTCTGCAAGAAGTTGGCATGAGGTTTTTACGTCGACGCCCTCCATGTCATAGAAACGCACGAACGCAAAACTCTTCTTCTCGCCGTCCTCGCGTGCCTCGTCTATATGGAACAGCATCAGGACCTGTACATACCATATGACAGGGGTTCTTCTGCCATCTGCACCCACTGCGTTCCCTATCATAGCTGCATGAGAGAACGCCGGTGTGCCATGGAAACTGGGATTTGCGCGTGCATAATGGCTCTCCCTCTCTCCAGTGGTTGGTAGAGCCAGCGCCGTGTGTACCTGCGACAAAGTTGTTTGGAAACATGGACAAATGCCAGTGGTTTGAGTGTGGCTTCAAAATCGATGCATGTACAAGTTTGGTTGTAAATGATGCATGCACCTGTGCAATTTTGGGCATGCAAAGAATGGACTAGTCTCACATAAAGCTTCTGGAATGTATGATCAGCGTCTACAATGATTCCCTCCAGGCGCAACATGCCCTCCTTGTTGCACTGGACATGTGCGCGCCACAGATCCGCGCCCTGGCCGCCTTCGCCACCGAAAGGTCGGGTAATGACATTGTAGCTCGATGTCAGAACTGGGTGATTGACACGGTCGGCCTGGTGGGTGGTGGGAGTCATACGGACAGAACTCAATATGTTTACAACTTGAATTATGGAAATCGTGGACCCCATGGGCTCAATATGCTGAGGTCAAATCAAAGGCATGCTCTGGGAAGGGGCTGGCTAGAATGGGTAAGAACAAACCACCAACCTTGACAAGGGCAGTTTCGTAGTTGGAGGGTCCACTTATCGCAGACGGCATGCTACGAAGCACATCCCTCAACCGTGCACTGCGAAGGATCGCCTCATCGTACTGCCGGAAGTTTGAGGCTCGGAATGGCTGCTTGCACGACGTGGTATGGGCGTGCTCAAACAAGCAAGTGCTGTACTCTCCTGGTGCCCCTCCACGCCGAATCGCATCAGGGAAATGATAGAGGAGGTGAATCTTAACGAGATTCCATCCTCTCCCCTTCCTTGGAAACTGCGTGGTTAGCAGGCGAACCAGCCTGGGATTTATGACGGGGCAAAGCATGTGATTGGGAATAAGGTCATGGTTTGGTGTGACGCGCATGCCAACTTTTTTTTAACATAACGGATGGCATTGCATACAGCTGTTCCACGTACTCTGTTGTCTCGACCAGGTACTCTCGCAGTAGCTCTTCAGTGTACTCTTTTGCGCGAAAGTACTTGTCGAACCATGCCACGAAGTAATGCAATACGTAAAGCGCTGCCTCCGTGATCAATCCCTCCATGATGAACAATGTGACCTGAGCCGGATAGGGGGTGTGTATGTTTTGCGATGGAGAATGAATAAAGGGTATAGAGCACTCCGGATTTTCCCTTCCCCCATGGCTTTTCTCTACCTGCTGATTTTGCATTCACCCCTTGCTCCCTCTTCTCCCTGATTTTCCCTTCCTCTTCTGCTTTCCTCTACTGATTGATGTTTGCTAACCCCCTGGAACTTCGCTACCTCTCGATATTCCCTTCCCCCCCTGCTTTCCTCTCTTCCTGAATTTCCCCACCCTGTATGCTTTCCTCTACCTCCTGAATTTCCCTTCCCCCCCTGCCCCCCTCTGCCTCTTGATTTTCCCATCCGCCCCTGCTTTTCTAAACCTCCGGATTTTCTGTTCCCCCCCAGCATCCCTCATTCCCATGATTTTTGCTTCCCCACATGCGTTTCTTTACATCATGATTTTCCACTCCTCTGCAACTAGCCTCAAACTTTTGATTTTCCATTCCCCTCCTCCTCTCCTATACCTCCTAATTTTTCCATCCCCCTCTGCTTTCCCCGAATTTCCACTCCCCCCAAGCTTTGCACATCCACCAGACTTCCCCCTCTCCCCCTGCTTTCCTCTACCTCCTGATATTCCCTTCCCTCCCCACCTCCCTCATCCCCATGGTTGTCCCTTCCCCCCCAGCCCTTTCTTTGCGTCCTGATTTTCCACTCCCCCCTTGCTAACCCTCACCCACCTGCTTTTCCCCTCCCCTCGTCCTCTCCTCTACCTCCAGATTTTCCCACCCCTCCTATGTCTCTCTACATCCTGAATTTCCATTTCCCCCCAGCATTCCTCATTCACATATTTTCCCCCTCCCCCCCTGCCTTTCTCTACCTCCTGATTTTCCCTTCCCCCCTGTTCTCCTCTACCTCTTCACATTCCTTTCCCCCCCTGCTTCCTTCATCCCCATGAATTTCCCTTCCCTACTTGCTGCTCTCTTTGTCCCGAATTTCAACTCCCCCCCAGCTTTGCACATCCACCTGACATCCCCCTCCCCCCCTGCTTTCATATACCTCCTGAAATTCCCTTCCCCCCATGCTTCCCTAATGCACACGATTTTCCCTTCCCCCCATGCTTCCCTCATCCCCATGATTTTCCCTTCCCTCTATTCTTCCCTCATCCCCATGATTTACCCTCCCCCCCTTGCTTCCCTCATCCCCGTGTTTTTCCCTTTCGCCCATGCTTCCCTCATCCCCATGATTTACCCTCACCCCCCTGCTTCCCTCATCCCCATGACTTTCCCTTTCACCCATGCTTCCCTCATCCCTATGATTTTTCGTTCCCC